CCCCGCGGGGCCCCTGTCAAAGCGAAAGGCGCTCACATGCAAAGCAGAGCTCCTCACTTCCTGCCTTGCCCCGGCCAGCCCTGACCCGGCTCATTCATTTCGTGTCAGGCCGGCCGTGGCTGAGCACGGCCGCGGTGCCCCCGCCCCTGGGGATCTGCGCCGCCGGCCTTGCGGCCCGCTGCCAGCCCGCTCCGCCAAGTTCGTCCTAACTCCGCGCCAGTTGCGAAAGAAAAGTCCTGGCTCGGGTGGCAGCGCCGCGAACCCGAGCGGCGCCGCAGCCGACTTCCGAGCCCAGCCTCTTCCCCCGGCCCCGGGCGCCCGGACAGCGGGCGCAGGACACTGGCAAGTGCACGCACCCCCGCCGGGTCCTCCGGGATCTCGGCGTTTCCCAGGTCTAAGCAGCCCAGATGGCTGCCAGGCAGCGCCGGGGCCCCCCTCCCCGCCTCCCTCCCCTCCAGCCCCCCGCGCCAATTAAGGAGACAAATATAACAATTTCTTCTCGTTAATTTCAGCGCCGAGCGCCCGTGCGCGGGGCACAAAAAGAGAGTGGGTGCGAGCGAGGAGGGCGGCCGGGGAGAGCCGCGCGCAGGCTGCAGGCGCCCGGCTCCGGCTGGCAGCGAGCGGCGGAAAGGCGCCTTTTTTCATATCGAAACCACGCGGAATATGTACATTTTTGATTCCTACTTACGCTTTCAGGGGGTTGTGAATGACAGTCGCCATTTTGCTACAATGTAACAGAATATTGTGCCTCGGAGTTCTAAAGGTTCGCTCAGGGGAAGCGGCCAGCCAATCCGCGCGCGGGATACCGGCCCGCGGTCCAATCAGGGGCCGCGGGCGGAGCTCGGGCTCTGCTAGTTATTAGGGGAGCTGTCAAAGCCCAGAGGTCACTCCCTTTCTGTAGAACTGGAAGAGAGCAGGTTTTAAAGGGGCAGTTCACACTCCTAGGGCTGTCACCGCCCCGAATTTGAGTGAGCGGGGGGGGGGGTGAGTGGGAGGAGGGAAAGACTTTTTGCAGTTATCTCACTGTTTCTTTAAAGAAGAGAGAGAGAGAGAGAGAGAGAGAGAGAGAGAGAGAGGAGTAGGGGATAAAGCATGGGTCATTCATTGTCTCTTTGCCTTGCTGTCGCTGCCTTGCATTTCCCAGATGGCATGCCCCCTTCTTCACATGCCAGGATTGGATGCATGCCATTTCACCAGGAAAATAAATTACATGGGTACTGACATTTGATTCCGCATTAGATCCTGAAGCTTTTCATTATTATTCCCCAATGTGTTTCCCTTTCTTGAAAGCCATTTTCCTCTTTAGGCTTCTTGGAAATGCTAGTGCTCACAGTGACTCCAGGGCTGCACCCCCTCCCCCCTCCCCTAGGAATTTCTCAATGTCAGTCATCCAGCTCCTGCAGCCAGTGCACTGGTTACATAATGCACAGTGGCCAAACCAACTGCCTGCTTGTTTTCTGTTTTTCCCACAAAGCAACTTCTAAAGTTAATCGCCTGGGCTAGCATGTTGAGACCAAGTCATCTGATCCTTCGGCAGAGAAATGGAGGAGGAAGGCTTTTAACTTTCATATTTATGACGCCTAGTTTTGTGGTGGCAAAGTAACTTGGAGGCCACTAGTTTTGCAGCAGATGAGGTGCCGTTAAAGTTGACTGACAGGAGAGTCACCAACTCCAGGAAGTCTGGGTTTGCCTGTAACTAAGACTTTGCAAGTGAATAATCCAACATGAGCTAAGAGATTCGCAAGATGCCTAGTTGTGATCTCATTGCATCTTAGAGGCAACTCCATTAAAGTTATGAAGTTACACCAGTGTAATCTGACCTAAAAAAAGTCTGAATCAGACCCACAAAGTTTGGTTTGATATTAGTGGAGGGTTTTTTCATGCAAAACTTCACTACCTCAAAGGTCTTTTTTCCCTTCAGGCATCCTCTGACCCTCAAAAAAATGAAACATAGGCCTGATTTTGGTGTAAACAGAAGAACACAAATCAGGAGAAATTCAAGTGAAATCAATGAAGTTACACTGCTTTTGTACCAACATGAGGGAGAAGAGAATAAAGATTTGATTATAATCATTCAGACAACCAGAGTAACAATGGAAGTATCAATAATTCATTATATATTCAGGTGTCAAAATAAGTAGAGGCAGCAGTTCTGGACTACTGAGCTGAATTAAAAAAGGGTCAAAATGGTTATAACATCTTTTTTTTTTATATCTTGGAATTTTTTCAACGTAAGGGGTGAGCAGAAAAAAAAGTTGCTGCAAACAAGATAAAGATGTAAGAGGGGAGATACAAGGAGGGAAGGATGGAGTCAAAGAAAGAGACGATGGAGTACACATTTGTTTCCCTGCCCTAGGGTTGTTTCAAAAAAGCTAGATCAAGTCTTTTCAAATGTGTCTGCCGTCCCTCTTCTCAAGAATGTTGCCTCATTAGCTGACAGATTAAACAAATTACTGTGCCAAGTTTCTATCCCTGAAGGTGATCTACTCTTTCTTCTAAGTAGATCACCTTCTGTCCCTGAAGGTGATCTACTCTTTCCTCATAAGCCTTTTGGCTAAAAGCACTTCTCTACAGAACCCAGATTTTCATGCATCACAGCATTTCCAAGCTGTTGGGACATATCCCAAAACATAGTCGTGGGAAGTAAGTGTTATTGTATGATTCTATAAAATATAGTAAGCACTCAGCTAACACTGAGTACAACAGGCTTCTTATGTTTGGCTTGCAAGGAAGATCATCCACAAACTTAAAAGCGTTTATAAATGGGCAAGTGATATATATGAAACAGAGAAATTAACAGGTTAATGTGTATGTGTACCAATGATCCAAGGTAGAGGACATCATAACTGTTTCACTGCATGGCATAGGCCCTATCCTGCTGGCAGAAATTGTCTGTTAGCTTACTGATTCTTAGCCAGGGTGCCAGGACACCCTGGGATGCCATAGGAAGTGTAAGGATATACTGACAGTGAGGCGTGAAAAGATAAGCAGACGGGGCAACTCCCTGCCTAGCTGTACCCCCATCCACACTGCCTGGCCCCTCTGCACAGAGGTCAGTACTGAAATAAATACAGTAGGTTTTGAAACTGGGTGCCACTCACTTTGCAAAAGTTACAGAGGGGTGCCTTGAGCCTAATCAGGGGTTCACTGAGTCTAAAAAGGCTGAGAACCACTCCTTTAGCTAAAACTGTGGGAGGTAATTGGCTCTGTCTCCATCCTCACAAAAAAAAATCTTACTTCCATGGGAACATAAACACTGCCACCATGGGACACCAGGTGGTCATGGATTTGTTCACATAACATTTATTTATATTTGTGGTACCCACCCGCCTACAGAAAGTTGACACCTAGATGCTATATATAGTAATTCATTCTGGAATCTTGTGATGAACTGCAGTTACATGTGTGAGGATTATATCAAACTCCTTTGGTTGTTTCACCTATACTCTTCCCATTAATCCATCTCTATATATCATTTATACTCTGCCCTCCCCCATCCTCCCACCCCCAGCACCTTCAGAAGATACTATGTTACTATATATTGTTCCAGAAGTTATTTCTTTTCCCCACAAGCTACACCTTTGCGTTCAGGTGTACAGCCAGCCCTCACACACAATGTTGGTGGTTCTTCTTCTGTTTACTATGAAGCAAATTTCAACCAAATATTTGCATGCTTAGCATATTAGCCAGAGACCCAAAATAAGTATCATTCTGTCTCAGAACAGTGACAGCTTTTTATATGTGAAAAAATAAGTTAACATATCCCAAATGCCTGCAGAGTCAAAGGAGGCCTATGAGTTGTGCTCTGGAAAGACAAGACATCCAACCATGCAAAGTCCTAGGATATTGTACCATCAAATGGTAATATTTTAAAGGTAAAGCAAAAAGCTGTTGTAGGTCATTTCTGTGAGTTTAATGAGTCTCTCAGGGTTCTGTACTGTTTGACTCATAGGCCCCTGAGCTGCAGGCAGTGGAGAAGGCTGAAAATATAGTTCTAAGCCATATCTGTGCTTCCTTGAACCTTAAGTCATGTAGGTGCTGGGCCAGTCCCAACTCCCAACAACCCAAATTAACTGACAGTGTAGCCAATGGCATGGGGGCCCATAAGCTGGCCATAAGAAACCCACACTGCCTGCTTTTCCCAGCCACATCTCATATACCAATGGTCAGCACAGATCTATCTACAGGACTGTTATGCCACTTGAGAGTCTTTCTACATAGCTAGAGGGCAGCTCTGCAATATCAGAGCATTGCAGAATACAGCTAATCGGCAACTAAGGCATCTAGCTTTACTGGCAAAGGCATACAAATAATAAGTTTTACCTCAAACATTTCTAAAATATTGTCCCAGGAATGCATGTGTCATAAAAATACAGAAAGATTGGTATGCTGCATAAGCTATTATAGATTCTTGTTTAGAATAACCTATTCACTCATGGCTTCACCACTTGCGATTAATGCAACCATTGATTACTCGTGCTAATAAAACCTTTATCCTGCACCATCACAAATTGTATTTTCTGCCTCACATGCTCACCAAAACATACACACTTTCATCATTAACTGAAATCACAGGAGAATGCAAGAAGATGAAAATGATTTTAAAATCTTTAGCATAATAAAATAGGTAGACAGACTTAACAAGGCACTGCCAGCTACTTTTAAAGCCAACATTTAAAATTAAAAAAGGAGGGGGGTAGTAGGGGAGGGGTTATATAAACCTAGTGGGTGGAATCTGTTCTATCAATACAAAGTCTGGGTATTCAAACTTTATATATACAGAGCATGAATAGTTTTAGGAGCTGAAACTCATGTCTCCAAATCAGACCTAATGAGTAGGGCTTGCAATATGATTCACTGCTACAGGAGAAAAGTAGCTGTAGCTCCTCCATGTAAGTTCAATGGAGACTTGAGACCACTGGATTGGCACCTCTAACCTACTCCCTTTCAGACTTCTGCACTTGTAAGTGCTTTTCATTCTTTCTTAATTGGGGGGAAAAATAATCAAGCAATCTAAGCAGCAGGAGGAAGAGGAGGAGGATGCGGGAGAAAAGATACAAGGAGAAGTTCGTGTGAGTGAGCCTGGCATCAAACACCCGATGCAAGTGGCAGAGCATAGCCCACTGCAGGCACTTTCAGCACTTATTCAAGTTTGTTTCATTAAAAAAAAAAAAAAAAAAGCATTGCTTCTCAGGGAAGGCACCCCAGGCCACTGCCCCATGGAGAGGCTGCTTCACATGAGCAAAGGGCTGCTGCCACAATGGAGAGAGGTAAACACAATAAATTCTTACAGCATATAAAGGGAAGTCCTGCCTCTATACAAAGTTCTATTTTTGCTGTAACATTTTTATATTACGACTCAGTTTCACCCTAGGTGAATTGTTTCTTTTCTCTCTTTGAAGTTTCATTGCAGGTTGTGTTTTCACTTCAACACTGCTGAGGAGTGTAAAACACAACACAAATGCCAAAGAACTGGCAGGAGATGCCAGCTAGCACCTAGTGTGAAACCTGTATGATTCTCTAAACTGAGAGAAATACAGAAAGCAAACAGTGGCTAAAAAGTGGTAAAAAAAAAATCTTCCAGTGCTCACACTTCATTTCAACTCTCAAAGAGCTAATGTGAGACAAGCAGCACAAGCTTATTTATGGATAATGAAGTTTCAATGCTAAGTGCTTGGTAAGGGCCTAAGCCCCTGCAAGCATGCTCTGTGCAAGGAAATTCCCTTAACTTTAAGTGTAGCTCAGTGTTTGCAAAACAGGGCCCCATTTCTATAGACATTCTGTAACCAACCTGAAACCTTAACCCCATTTTTATTTATTTAAAGTTCTGTAGACATCTTATGTGCACTGTGTTCCTTGTCAGTCCTCCTCTTCATTTTCTTTGATCTCCACCAGTAGTTCAGTTAACTCAAAGTGGAGGGAAAGATATCAGTGTCAAAGTTACAGACTCAACGCCAGCCTTCTACAGATGCATCACCCAGAATTCTAATACAGGTTTCCCTCGATTTATATGGCAGATGCGTTCCCAGGGAATGGCACATAAATTGAATTTGCATAAAAGCGAACCCAGTTTACAATGAAACAGATAATGATGTGTTCCCATGAGGGAGGGAGGCTGGGGCTAGGGAAGGGGTGGGGAGAGGGGTACGGCACAGCCCAGTGGCTGCAAGCAGGTGGCATCTGCCGCTCCCAGGGCTGCAGCAGGGGTGGCACCATACCTTTCGTAGTGCTCAAGGTGGGCAGCAGCACCACTCATCCCGTTTCTTCCCACTCACCCCACTGCTCCACTTCTCCTCACTCACCGCAGCCCCTGCTGAATCGGTCGTGGGAGCAGCTAACACCAAGTGGCAGCACGAGGCTCTTCCCAGTGCTTGGCAGTGGTGCTGGGAGGAGCTATGGCAAATTTTGGGGTGGCAGCAGCCTCCCTCCCATCACCGCAGCCCACCCCAAGTGCCAGAAAGAGCCTGGTGCTGCCACCAGACCCCGCCTGCTGTGGCTGCCAGCCCCAGCCTGCTCTTGTCACCCTGCAGGCTGCTGCCTGCCCCTGCTGCAGCCCTGGGAGCGGCAGACACCACCCACTTGCAGCTGCTGGGCTACAACATGCTGGGGGGTTCAGGGCACAGTGCCCCAGCAGAAGCACAGCCCCAGAGGGTTCAGGGCACAGGGCAGCCCAGCAGCTGCAAGCCACTGGCATCAGCTGCTCCCAGAGCAGCTGCAGCAAGAACTGGGATGAGTGGGGCCCCGACCCAATGGCCCTTACCCCTCTCCTCTGCTCACAGCCCTTTCCCCTCCCCTCACAAACTCACAGACTTACCCGCTAGGGAGAGGGGGGAGCGCACCTATTCCAATCTCATAACAATGCGAATTTACCTTGCATATAACAAATTTCAGGTATAAAAAGGGTCATTGCATAGGAGTGAATTCACATAAATCAGACCCACATAAATCAAGGGAAACCTGTATTACAGAAGTCTTAATCTGTCTGTCCCTAACGCTTTATTCTCATTCTGATTGGTTGTCTGAAACAACCAATCAGA